CCATGCTTGAGGTTAACTGGAATCTTCTTTATCCATCTAATTCTGTTGACCTATCTTCCTTGGACTCCCCATTCACCTCAGATGAAACCAAGAACATGATTTTCGACCTTCATCCAGACAAATCTCCAGGTCCTGATGGCCTACCCATCCTATTTTTCCAAAGCTTCTGGTCTACCATTCAACAGGACGTCATCTCATTCATCCAATCTTTACACTCAAACGTCCATCCTCTCCACAACATCAATTATTCCTACATTTGTCTATTTCTAAAGAAGGATGGTGCGAATAATCCTAAGGACTTCAGACCTATCAGCTTGATCAATAGTACAATTAAAATCTTCACCAAAATTCTAGCAAACAGACTTAGTCCCTTCCTCTCATCTCTCATTGATAACTCCCAGGCAGCTTTACAAAGCGGCAAGTCCTCTCTTGACTCCATCCTCCTTGCCCATGAAATGATTAACCATTGCTCCTCAGAAAAGAAGGAACTGTGTGCTATTAAAGTGGACTTCTTCAAAGCCTTTGACTGTGTTAACTAGAAATTCCTTCTTACCCTTCTCAAAGCCAGAGAATTTAGTCCTAAGTGGTGCCTTTGGATTTTCCACGTCCTGTCTTCCTCTAAATCCGCTGTTCTGGTCAGTGGTTCTCCTATCAACTTCTTCAAGTGTCACAGAGGTCTTAAGCAGGGTGATCCACTCTCACTAATGCTCTTCCTATTAATTGTAGATGTTCTTAACAAGATGAGTAGATCTAGTGTATCCTCAGGGTATCTCTCCGAGCTCAACTTAAAAGGAGAGCTTAACTCCATCAGAACCCTCCAATTCGTAGATGGCACTCTAATCTTTTGCAAAACTACCTCAAGAGATATAATTACCCTCAAATCCATCCTTTACATCTTTGCCAATATCTCCGGCCTCAACGTGAACTACACCAAGACAAATTTTTTCTACCTTGGCAAATGTGACACCCCAGGTTTCGCGCGAGGCTGTAGTCCAAGACGAAACCTAGAAGGTCAAACCTGCTAAGCACCAAACACCATGCTACGACATGTTTCACCATCACAATTACTATCTCTCTAGTAAAAACAACAAATATGTGAAGGTACAGACAGGCAAATAAAAGAAATAGAGTAAAACCAGATATACACAGAGGAAGCATGAGAATAATCATCAGTAAGCCCAAATAAAATAGAGTAGAAATACCTCCGAGTCTAAAATAAACCTCAAGTATAAAGAGTCAAATAAAGTATCACTACGGTTCTCAGCCTCTACAAAATGAAATACAAGTCTAGAGTCTGAACATAATCAACTAATTATGGAGTTCTGAAATAACTACTAAATAATAAATAGCTAGGTGAGATTTATGCAGAAATCTCATCAACCTGCGACTCTCAGCACGCTTGAATCGCTGACTGAAAAGGGGAAAAACAACGAGCGTTAAAGCGCTATAGCGATAACATCTCCACCTCTCCCCAAGGGAAGGGGATAGGAATGTGTAGAAAATAGAGTTAGTACATATGCATATGAAATCATTCATAAAAGTCTAACTGGAGACTAGTATTTAGGAATCCACAACACGAGAGTTAGTACATCGAGTGAAATAATCCAAATAAGGAAACCCTCATATATATACCATGTCTCAAATTGTGACTCCCTAAATACTAATTCCAAACTTTATGAATGTAAAACAATAAACAAATAGATAATACTCCAAATCTCAAACCTGTAGAACAAATATCTCATCCTGATCTACACTCGGGTAGATGGATCTAACAAAAAAGGAACTCATCAAACAAAAGCCAACCAAATACCATGTTGTGTAAGTCACGATCTCAGAGAAAACATCCTACTCGTGGGTATTCAAAAATGGAAACCAATTTATAATTTATATTACTTACAAATATGCATCTCTTATACATTAGCGATACCCTTGTAATATTCTTACTCAATCGCTCTGCGGCAATAGGTTTTATCTCCCTATACCGGAAACATAATACGACGATACTTTTGTAATACTCTTACTCAATTCCCCTATGAAAATATATTTCATCTCCCTATTCCGGAAACATAATATGACGATACTTTTGTAATACTCTTACTCAATCGCCCTGCGAAAATATGTTTCATCTTCCTATTCCGAAAACATAATATGACGATACTTTTATAATACTCTTACTCAATCGTCCTGCGGAAATAGGTTTTATCTTCCTATTCTGGATACATAATATTTGTGTATTTTTCTTATTTATCATGTTAACACATCATATTTTAAACATACGTGTACATATCTTGGTGTATGTGTCTATATCTAGTGTTTACTGACATTTCAGATGTTAAACAGCTCATAAACATTGTATCATAACAGTACAAGGTCGAGAGACTAGCTCGAAAACTCAACAGTCAAACAAAACATGCACAGGACCACAGACTGTGTGGCGGTCGACCGCACAAGAACGGCGATTGACCGCGACGGGTTCCAGAGCCTACTCAGGCCTTTGTCCTGCACGCGGTCGACCGTCGCTATAGCGTGCTCGACCATGGGCTGATATTTTAGATTCTCAATCTGGTTGTGTGTCTCGTGTTTACGTCGTGTTTAGGTGATTCAAACATGATTAAAACAACATGAAACTTGCATGAGAACATGTTTACAGTGGATAAAAACTTCTGGAAACAAACTCAACATAAATAGCATGATTATTTGCATAAAATTTATATTCAAAACCCTAAGTCATGCATAAAAACTCAAAACTAATAACAAATCATCTTTCTTCAGATTAAACCATGTTTTAAATCATTTTCAGCTCTTATATACTTCTGTAAATTCGTTCTCAAACTTTTTAACATGGAAAGACCTAGTCTTTATACATATAATACAAAAGAATTGACTTTTATTCATAAACTAGTCAATTTGGCTCTGTAAAACATATTAGAAACTCTTTTAAAACGTTTTAAAAACTAGGAGGGGGATTAGCAGAGATGAACTCGTCTGAAGCTTGTAGAAAAACATTTTAGGATGCCAAGCCAAAGTAGATCTCCAATCCAAAAGCCAAAATCACCTGAAAAATCCACTTGAAAGCCTCCAATATTCTCCAAGAATCAAATTAGGGTTTGTGGGAGTTTGGTGGCTGTTAAGGTTCTTAGAAAACCAAGAAAATTCGTGAAAGTTTGATATATATAAACCAGAGAAAGCGAATATGGTCTTTAGAAAACCAAAACCAACTCAAAATAGGAATCTGACTTATGCAGGTTTCGCGGTCGACCGTGACGGTCGGCCGGACTGCTGTC